TCCAGACCCTGTCACTGTTCCTGCTCTCAGTAGCCTCTTTCTTATTGAATGTTTTCTAAGTGAAGACATCAACTGAGTGGGCCACAGTTAAAAAGATCTAAAGCCACTGGGATTCTGGAAGGAACAGGAGAAGTGAGTGATTTATCACAAACTTCGCAAGAACCCACTGTCCTCTCGACAGTAGGGCCCTGGTGGACATGCCCAACACGTCCTATCTGGCCTGATGTCAGCCTCCCCACACCTGTCAGGAGACAAGGCAGGTTTACTAAAGTTTAGGCACTTCCCACAGCAAAAACCTATTGAACAGGTTCTCTCTTAGGTGGCTATTTGTTAAGGAGCAAATGATTTTTTTTTTTTAAAGTGGAAGAAAGCAACTTTTTAACAAGCCAGTTGTAGCATGTTAATATGCGTCAACTTATTCCTCACAGTACCTGACCCCTGCTGCTCTTTCTGAAGCTGCTATTAGGCTGTTTTCCAGCCCATCTGTTAGACCCTGAGCCCTTCTGAATTTTTTTTTTTTTTTAAATACTCAAAATCATCATGATACTATGCCCCATGCCAGGATTTTTCCATTTAGGGGTAGAAAAATTCCCCAAGCCCACCAAAGCCCTGTGGCTTGGTTTCCTGTCCAGCTGGCTTGCTCTTTCCCAGGATTTTATTCCCATCATCAAAGTGGCTTGACAGTCCGAGAACAAACCTCTGGCTCACCCTGGACTCACAGTATATATTTCCAAGTCAGAACAAACACCAAGTAAGAGCAAAAGAAAAAGAAAGGGGGGGGGGATTATTTTCCTGACTTAGAAGCCAGCTCAGAGTGAAGCCTAACTCTGACTCCAGACAGGGGTGTAATGGGGCTGTGGCTGTGGCCATTCTTGAGGGTGGAGCCACAAACTGTGGGATCCAGGCCAGAATTCTTCTCTGAATCCATCTCATAGGGCCATGTATGGATACCGTGTGGCCCCAGATCCTTTGTTTCCTGTAATCAAAAGCAGCAGCATTTGAGAGAACCTTCCAAGCCCTCGTTGACTCCATCAAACTTGGTCCCGAGCCTCAGTTGTGGGAGCAGTATCCCAGGAGTTCAGCAAGGTAACCTGCCAGAGCCAGGTCAAGAGAAAGAAGATGCAGAAAATTTCAGTTTGGCAGTCCACTCTAAAGATTGCCAACTTTCCTCTGCACTATTTGTCTAGGAAGTGTATTTAGGCTTTTTTCATCAGGCTCGAGAGTCAAACCAACTTCCCCAAAACTTATGGTTGAGTACAGTTCCACCAATACCCAAGAAACTGTGACTCTGTGAAGCTACATGGAAGCAGGCAGAATATTTTTACACTAAGGAACAGCCCGTTAGCACAAAATATTTCATTTTCTGAAAATGCAATAAGGTTTGCCTTGCCCTTGTTCCCACCTTCTCAGTACATTCCGAACCTTCCCAAGCTGGTGACCCTGAGTCCCTGAACAAGCCAGACTAGTTCCTTCCCACCCCTGTTGCCCCCTTTCGAAATACTCTTCCTTGTCAACTTTGTCTCATTTTTCATGACCCAGTTGGAATTTCATCTTCATCAACTATTTCCATTTCTCCAGTCTACCCTGATAAGCTCTTTCTCTTAACTCCTTCCACCCTGTCCCAAAGTTTGTCTTTATTTTTGTCTCCATAATTAGTAATCCTCTGAGGTCCAGAATCACATCACGTACATTGACCAGCACCCATCTCAGAACTGCGCTGAGGAGCCGGCCACCTGCTCTCTGCAGGCCTGTGCCAGCTGTCTGCTCATTCAGTAGCCCCTGTGTCTCCTTTTCTCCCTTTCGTGGAGGACGGTGGGCCTTTCTCTGATAAGGGGTGTAGGAAAAAGGGGGAAAGTTCCTCCTGCAGTGGAAATACAAAAATTAGAAATGATATTATGAAATTTTTCATAAAATGTTTTTCCTTAAGGTCTGAAAGTTATGATGAAAAACCTGGGGAAACTAGAGAAACAAAAGATGGGGGCACGATTGGGGGAGATTTTCAAAGAACTAAAAGCTTTAAATAACAAATTGAAGTGATAAAATACTAGAAAAAATATGGAGAAAATTTCTATCTTGAAGAAAGGTTAGACTTTGTAAGCTTGATAGAAAGCTCAAAAGACAAAAATGTTAAAATATTTGACTACTTAGGGTCCTCCCTGGTGGCGCAGCCGGTTAAAGCACTGCACTAAGAAGCTAAAGCCACTTCAGCATGAGTTCGATCCCCGGCCAGGGAGGCGACCCACATGGCGCAGCAGACCTCTCCTGACCCGCCCGCTGCTCCCCTCAGCAGTGTATTTTGTCAGTCTGCCTGTTCTGCTCCCTATTCTGTCTCTGCTGAATCCTCTCACCACCCCGGTACCTCTGGCCTCTACCCCAGTTCTGTAATAAATAAATCTTTAAAATTATATATTTGACTATTTAAAAGTAAGCATTTTTGAATTGCAAAAGAATTGTAAAGTTAAAAGACATGGTGAACTGCAAAAGTATATTTGCAACATATGTGACAAAGGACAGATGTCCTTACTATACAAAGAGCTCCAAGATATCAGTAAGAAAAAGACCAGCGATGTTATGGTTTGTAGAAAAGGAAATTAAAATCTCTTTCTTGAAAAGCATATGAAGATGCTCAACTTTCTTTAAAATAGTTGTGATGTTCAGCGGTGTAATACTGTTTTCATTTATGCTGGCAGAGGTCAGAAGTTTAATCATGCACTGTCTTGACCACTGTGTTGTGGAGAAACTGGAATTCTTACACACTATTAGAGAAAATGTAAATTGATACAGTCTCTTTGAAGAGTTTCCTTTTAAAAAGCAATAAAAATATTAATGTGCAAATGTTTTGATCTAGCAGTTCAGCATCTAGGAATTTCTAATCTGAGTACCCATTCATGTAGATTTCTTACAGCACTGTTTTCAGCAAACTATCTTAAACCACCTGAATTATTTCAATAACGGGGCACATGTACATCCCTGAAATGAAAGTTTATAGTCATTTTAAAAAAAAATATCTATGCTTTGATAGAGTGATGTCTAAAATAAATTAGTGAAAAGAAAGTAATACTCATAGCTTAGTAAACTACCATTTCTATAAAATTAAACAAGTGGGTAACTATAGATATATGCTTGTACATGAATAGAATGTGCCTGGCAGGATATTCTAGAAAGTAGTAATGAGTAGTCACGGTGGTTGCCGCAGGGGAACAGAATATGGGTAGAGAGTGGGGCAAGGAAAAGGATCTTAATTTTTACTGCATGCCTTTTCATACTGTTTGAATTATTTTTATGCTGTGTGTGTTACCTATTTTTTAAGCTCTTTTTTTTTTTGAGCTAGATGCAGGTATGAGGTTAGGTCAGAGGGGATATATATGTGTGTGTGTATATATGTAAATAGCGGTTACAGCAGGGGCATCGGGAAATGAGCAGATAATGTAGATGAAATGAGATCGTGGAACAGAAATGAGGTGGGTTACCAGCAGAGAGACCTTGAAACAAGACAGTTTTGTTTCAAATCAAAACTACCTGGCTCTCCCTGGTGGCGCAGTGGGTTGGAGCGCCACACTGAGTCTCTCCAAAGCCACTGCATCATGAGTTCGATCCCCCAGCCAGGGAGCTGACCCACATGGCATGCAGACCTCTTCTGGCCCGCCTGCTGCTCCCCTCAGCAGTGTACTTGGTTGATCTGCCTGTTCTGCTCCCCACTCTGTCT